TGTTCCCCAGCCTAGTGCCACCCCAGGACGGCGGTATCAACTCTCACACACGTCTGGGCCCCGGGTACAAGCACGTGGAAGTTTTGGCGCGAAAATTGCTAACCCGGAAATGAGAAAAGCTAGAAAGCTGGGGGAATGTTCCCTACTCGTCTGTGACAAAAGGATTTCAAATTCAGCTGCGCAGGTGTACCCGGGGCTTGCGCATGGCACGTGAAAATTATGGCGAGAAAATTCATAACTCGAAGATAAGAAAAGCTAGAAAGTTGAAACTTTGGAAAATATTTTCTGCTCATGCACGAACAAAAGTCTTCAAACTCAGCGCCTTAAGACTGCCTGGGGTTCACGTACGGGTGTGTGAGAATTTTCGGCGCGAAAATTACTAGCCGGGAACGGGAAAAGCTGGAGAGCTTAAACTTTAAGGGAATGTCCTCTGCTCATGTACGAGCAAAATCTGGTGTGTAGAAGCGCCCGAGCCCACATACGAGCGCGTGTAAATTTTGTTGCGAAAAATACTAACCCGGGAACGAGAAAAGCTAGAAAGCTGAAACTTTGACGGAATGTTCCCACTGCTATAAAGGACGGTAGAAGAGGAATGAAGACTCCAGAAATGCAAATGTTAGAAATTTAGGCTTCATTCGTTGTTTTTGTTCAGGGGCTAGTCATCCCTAAATAAAATTTAAAGTCCCGACTAAACAAATATGTCAAACGGACAGTGGCCGTTATCGAATTTGATTTCAAGGTCGAATAGGTATGCTGTGAGTGCAGAGTGCATTGTGTTAGCCTGGAGAATTGATGTGTAATTTAACCGGTGAAATTAGCCAATATTACATGTTAAACTGAAAATACAGAAAAGCGAGCTGGGAAGGGGTTGCAGAGGATTTAGGCGTATGGAGAAGTATCAAAGGTTAGTTAAAGTATCGGCGTGCAGCGCAATCAACGGGGCGTTTGTCACAGTTGTGTTTTGTTAATTTAGATAATGTTTATTATGCATTGTCAGTTTGTTAATATGGGTATTTGATCCTTCGTTTAGCGTTGTCTTTTGATGTCTTGTATGCTTTTGTTACGCAGTGAGGGGTTACTAAGGCTGCTGCTGATATCACCGAGGAATATGGGGAATTTG